TTAGGCAGACCCTAAAACAAGGTCCCCAGGAGGGACCCAAGTTGGGACCTTCAGATAGAGAGGGAGAAAGGAGGTTGAGGAATGGAGAGTGAGGTAACGGCCAGATGAATGAGTTACAAGGTAAATGGTCAGGAGAGGGGTCACAAAGAAAAAGTAGGTAAAAGTCCTCTTTATCAGTTATTTCAAACAGAATATTCTCATTCTTGTTGGCCTCTTGGAATGTTGGCCGTTTGGCTCAACCCAAGGTCAGATCTGGTTTAAAGAAGACAACAGTCACTTTTTCTGAAGTGACTTTTCTCACCCTATTTTATTTTCTTTCAAAGATTTATCTATTTATGCATAGAGGAATTGGGGCAGAGGCCAGAGGTTGAGAGAGGAAGGAGAGGATTCGCCAGAGACTGAGTGGGGAGCACAACAGGCAGATCCAGTGAAATATACTGCTGAGGGGTAGCAAGGAAGAGTTACAAGGTAAGTGGTCAGGAGAGGGGTCACAAAGAAAAAGTAGGTAAAAGTCCTCTTTATCAGTTAGTTCAAACAGAATATTCTCATTCTTATTCTTTTCTGTTCAGTTCGAGACAGGAGAGATTTCATATGTGGGTTAGGTTCCTGGTGGGGGATAAAACTCAGGCTGCATTGGCGATAAGAGTGACAGCACTGAGACTTAACCTCTGAGCCACCAGGGACACCCCTTTTCTCACCTATTCTAATATCACGCCAGTGAAGTCACATGCTCATCGAGTGTATGCCCCATGGACTAGACTGTGTCTTCTCAGGGCACTTTTCTTGCCATGATGAAGCTTGTTTGTTTGCATGCCTGTCCCTTGTGTTCCCTGTGTCCATCATGTAATAGGTGCCGGGAAATTATTTAATGGGTGGGTGGTTAGGTGGCTACATAGCTGGATGACTCGATGGATGGATAGATTGATGGGCAAGTTAGTTTTTTCTCTTTCCATCTGCCTAACACATTATCTTTACCTCATTCAAAGATCATTGTTCATTTTGGGGTTTGTTTCCTGTGCTTTGTATCATTTCTTTACTGGACTGTAAGCTACTTGAGAACAGTAAGGTTAGCAACCAAGTCATAATGAGTTTATTTGGGAATAACAGGATTGCAATTCTCCATGGTAGCTACGCTCTCAAATCCAAGGGTTTACAAATGTGGTTTTGTAGAGACCTATAGCATGTTCCAGGTCTTTATAATTTTTTTAATTGCTGAATGTTCATATGGATATGATGATTACCTGTGTCCAGAGAAGTATGCAGAGGGTGGACAAAATAGACCTTCTCAAGCTTCATTGGATATCTTGATAAAATGCAGATTCTAACTCAGATTAGGGCCTGAGAAGCTACTTGTTTTTTTTTAAGATTTGTTTATTTATGCATACAAGTACTGGGGTGTAGGCCAGAGGTGTGGGAGGTGAGAGGATTCACCAGAGACAGAGTGGGGAGCAGAAGAGATGAATCTACTGAAATACACTGGATTTCTGTTTGGCAGCGCTCTCCCTGCCTCCATTCCATTTCTGCTTTCCAAAACACCATCTCTACGTAAAGGCCCAGGTCTGTTGTCACCTCTCTAAGAAGACTTTCTTGATCCCTCCCTGTGGTACAGGTAATTGCTCCCTTAGTGTTCAGGCCCTGTCTATGGCACTAACTCTCTAGGTGCTGGGTTGTAATAACTGATCTGGATGTCAGTTGTTCTAACCAGATTGTGACCAGTTCCATGAAATGGAAAGTGTCCAGTCCATCTTTGTAGTGCCACCAGGGTGGGCCTGGGTTCCTCTTTACTGGTCTTCTGAGCCCATCCTACAGGGGGTGGGGGACTCAGGGATGTGATGACCGCTGCCCAGAGCTGCACATCCTGTCTTGGTGCCTGATCCAACCTCTAAGATCTCAAAGGCCTTGACTATGGACAAAGAAGGGTCTTCCTTCCCAAGGGCTAAGCCATTGTTGCTTATAGGAAATGGAACTTTTGTAGGTAGGACTGGCCTCCTGCTGGGAGGATGGGGATGGGTTTCCGTTGCTCTTACCTTCAAAAAACTTCTAGAGTCAAAGCTCTTTTCACAAGTTTTTTTTATGTCTCACACACACACACACACACACACACACACACACACACACACAGCTTCTTACCTCTCTCTCCCAAGTAAGGGCAAGTAGTTCTGTGAATGTTTAGCTCACAGTCCTGTCTCTAGTACCCACAGTCTGGCTCTTAGGAATTCCACAGAAAGTTTGAATGATCAGCAAATGTGGAATGCAAAGCTCTTACATTGCTGCTACATTGCAAAATCTTCACTTGCAGAGACTCCCAACTGCACTCATCTGATCACTTTGAAGTCTCCTCTTCTTCCTCCTCCCAACCCTGGACAGTCTTTCTCTAGACATCTATCAAGAAGAGACCAGCTGAAAGTAGGTTCTAGTCCAATGGGAAAAAGTCTTCCCACCTAGCAAAGGCCAGTTTGTACTAACGTGCTCAGGTCTCTTCCCAGCTTCCAGCCTGGGGACTTGTCCAGTCTTTCCCTTCCCCGATCAAGTCCCATTTGGCTTCTGCAGGCCAGGAAGCTCCCTGGGTGTTTTGCATGTCTTGAAAATACCCTTTCAGACTAATTCAGTGATAACCTTGTACTTCGAGATGGGGAATCTACAATTTTCTTTATTTCCCAGAAACTTGGGAAGCATCTTGGACTTCTACTCTTCCATTAATTACAAATTAAACAGTCTAGAACTCTTGAAAATCCAGCCACTTCCCCCATTCTCCAGAGCCACCACCGTCTTGGCCATCACCTCCTGGTCTTCCTGAACCCACCCTCTAAATTCTTCCCCATTCCACAGCCAGAGAGGTTTCTTTAAAGTGTAATTTGAGTCAAGGTACTTCTCTCTTAAAGTCTTTCAGTGCAGCCCTTTGATCTCAGGATAAAGTCCAAAGGGTTTCAAGTCTCCAAGAGCAGACTGTCTTTCCTCCCACTGCAACTGTCTGTCTTGCAGACTGGGTTCAGCCCACTCTCCCCTCAGGGCCTTTACACAAACAATTGCTTCTCCCTGTCTGCCCTTAGGTGACTGTCCTCAGTATAAATGCAGTTTGATAATAACAATAATTGATGTTACTTAAGTGATCTGTGTGTATTCCTTTATTCTCACAATCACCCAATTTAAGTGAGTACCTTGATTAGTATTTTACAGATTGGAAATCTGAGAGTCAGAGATGGGAACCAGTTTGCTTGAGGTCAGACTGGCAGTAGGCTATGTCCCACCCACCCCAGATGGCCCGAAAAGCCCTGTCCTCAAGCAGCTGACTGTCTGGGAGCCTACCAGTCTGACCTCAAGCAAGCTGGTTCCCATCTCTAACTCCCAGATTTCCAATCTGTAAAATACCTTTCTTCATAGGTACCTAGTAGTCAGTTGCTTATTTAACAGATATTTATTGAACAATTAGTATGAGCATGCAGACACTGTTCTGGGTTCCTGTAGTTGTGAAGCTGATCCAGAAATGGGAAAAGACAGGCTGAACAGGCAAATACACAGATGAAAAACCTAACTGCAGGTGGTAAAAAAGATCCTAGAAGTCAGGATGGCTACTTTCGATCACTGGGTGGTCTTGGAAGGCTTCCTGGAGGAGGGAATCTACCTATAAAAGGAACATTCTGCATGCGTTTCTTGGTTTAATATATTAATTATAAAAACTGCATGAAGGAGACAGGGGCTTCCTTTGCCGTGTCTATTGGAGTACCCAGCATAGAGTGAGCCCCAATGGACCAGTTCTTTGAATGAATGAATACATCTGTTTCTTCATTATTCAAGTCACTGGTTTTTTATGTCAGTGTCTGTGTGTTTGGGCAATTTCTGTTGGTGGCTCTCACTATGACGGGGAGGGGTGCTCCCTGGCATTTATGGAAGAACAGATGCTCTACATCTTGCC